CCACTCATGAAGGACATGTTGGCCCAGTTGGGTAAAGGGAAATTTTTCACGAAGTTGGACCTAAGGGAAGCATACTACAGAGTCAATAAAGGAGGGAGATGAGTGGAAAACTGCTTTCAACTGCCCTTTGGCATGCTTCCAGTTTAGAGTACTCCTGTTTGGACTGCAGGGGGCGCCAGCAGTCTTCATGCAATTAATAAATGAAGTCTTCCATTAGCACCTGTACGAAGGGGTGTTGGTTTACCTGGACGATATCCTTATCTACACGGAAACACATGATGAACACATGACTTTGGTATGCTTGGTTCTCAAAAAACTCTGGGCCACTGAACTTTATGCCAAATTGTCTTTATGTGTGAATTTCACCAGGAGAGGATCGATTATTTGGGGTACCATATCTCCCACGAAGGTATCGAGATGGACCCAGCAAAAGTCCAGGCTGTCACTGAGTGAGCACCTCCTCAGACCCGAAGCAACTTCAAAGTTTTTTGGGATTTGCAAATTTCTATCGTCAATTTATCCTCTCGTTCGCAAGCATTGCACTGCCAATTACAAATCTCCTAAAATCAAAGGAAGAGGTTAAACTTAGGCCAGGTAAGCCTCNATTTACTTGAGGTAATCAGCCAATATAGCAGACAGATGAGTAAGATAAGAGGGTTAAGAATGGTGAAATGCAAATGAAATATAATAGAAGGGGAAACAATATAAGGTGGGTGATATCGATTGGGAATTGCTATTAGAAAGAACAGGAAGCTCCTGTTCGTATTGTATTGTGTAAATGTGGTGTATACCTAAGTTTTGTGTGTGTGTATTTTACATGTTTGTAAATAAAATTTAGAATTTTTTTTTAAATAATAATGAGCACAAACCACATCTGGAATAAAATTTGGCATGCTTAATGGTAGATCTTATATTAGTGTTTTTATCTCTTATTGCGGAAAAACTCAGATTTGAGCAGCATTTACCATAGAGAAAACATTTTATAGTCAGGTGGTGTGCCTCATCAACCTATATTCAACAAATTTAAGACAGTAATGTTAAATAAGCATTAAATAAGCAGATTTACTTACACTGTAGGGCTGCAACTCATGTGGCTGGTAAAGTCATGGTATTACCTGAATGAGCAGTGGAACCTTTTTTGGCTTTAGGTGATTTTAAGGGACAAAATAAATCTCAACTCTTTATTCCCATTCAATACTGCAAAATAAATAAATAAATGCCCCCTCTATATCCCCTGTAGTCCAAAATAGCAGCCCGGATACCCTTCAAAGAAAAAAATGATTGGGGGGGGGGGTGAGACTTTGCCTTGATTTCCGTGGAATTAATGCAGTGTGCGTGAAGAATGCCTATCCCCTCCCATCATGAAGGACATGCTGAATCACTTGTCCAAGGGCAAGTTGTTCACCAAATTGGACTTAAGAGAAGCCTATTACCACGTAAGAATCCAAGAAGATGATGAATGGAAAACTGCAGTCAACTGCCTGTTTGGAAGCTTCCAATTTAAGGTCATGCCGTTCAGCTTGCAGGGAGCCCCTACAGCATCATGCAACTAATCAGTGAAGTGCCGCATGAGCACCTCTACAAAGGGGTCCTTGTTTACCTAGATGACATTCTCATATTTAGTGAGACCCTTGAAGAACACATAAAGCTGGTACGGCAAGTACTGAAGAAACTCCTTACCACCAAACTTTATGTGAAACTGTCAAAATGTGAATTGCACAAAACCTCCCTCGATTATCTAGGCTATTGGATATCCAGTGGAGGGGTGGAAATGGACCAGGGGAAAGTAAGAGCTGTGCTCAGCTGGCAACCCCCACGCACCCATAGACAACTTCAGAGCTTCCTGGGGTTTGCCAACTTCTACAGGCAATTTATCCCAGCTTTTGTGGGTCACTCTGCCCCTAACAGAACTGTTGAAAATGGGGTTCTTGCTGGTGAAGCAAAAGCCAAGCCAACCACTCGCTTGGACAGTGGACTGTCAAAAAGCCTTTGAGAAGTTAAAAAAGCTCTTTGTCCAAGAGCCAATGTTGCAACACCTGGATCCAAAGCAACAATTCATAATACAGGCAAATGGAAGCAATGTAACTGTGGCAGCAGTGCTTTTGCAAAAGGATCCAAAAGGACAACTTCTGCCTTGTATCCCAAAAACTCACGGACTCTGAGAGGTGATGGGCAATTTGGGAGAAAGAAGCCTACTCAGCCTGCTGGGCCCTGCTCTCATGGAGACATTTTCTAGAAGGGGGGCTAATGCCTTTCAAGATCTGGACTGATCATAAAAACCTTGAAGTTCTGAAAAAAACCTGAAAATTGTCTCCCAAGCAGGTCCGCTGGGCACAGTACTTCAGACAATTCAAATTTGAACTGAAGTACATACTGCCAGGAAAAAACCTGTTAGCTGATACCTTGTCAAGAAAGCTGCAATTTGACAGCTGGCAGGAGGAAGTAGTCCATGCCATCATCCTCACGCACAACTAGCAGTGCAAGTCACCACCAGAGGCCAAGGCAGGTGGCCTCCAGACCTCAGCCAGGACAAGCTTACAGCCACACTGTGCTGCCATGAAAACGAGACCAGGAAAAACCCCTGGGCTCCTTCAGCAAGTAGCAAGCCTCAGTAGTAGACCTTGGGAAAAATCGCAATGGACTTTATAGTTGAGATCCCAGAAAGTGGGGGGAACACTATAATCTGGACAGTAATTGATTTATTTTACAAACAAGCACATTTCACTGCTTGCTCTGGACTGCCTTCAGCAAAGAAGTTAGCTGAGCTATTCATCAACCACATCTACCGCCTGCACGGAGTATCCCAGGGAATCATCTCTGACCGTGGAGTCCAGTTTACGGCAAAATTCTGGAAGGAGTTCCTGAGATCCATTAGGTCCACACAAGGACTTAGCTCGGCTTTTCATCCGAGTTGAAACGGAGCTGCAGAATGAGCAAACACAGTAGTGGAACAATATAGCCATTGCTATGTGGATTACCAACAAGAAAATTGGTCCGACCTGTTGCCGTTTGCAGAAGTGGCTTACAATAATGCAGTGCATAGCAGCACTGGATTGACTCCTTTCCAAGTTACCAGTGGCATGGAATTTGTCCCCATGCCCAAACTACCCAGAGAACTCTTAAATGTCTTTAACAGAGTGGATGGATTCTCTGAAAAAGGGGTGGGAGAATACCAAGAAACTGCTAGCAGAAGCTGCAGAAGAATATAAGAAGCAGGCAAACACCACTCGCTTCAACCCCCTTCCGTGTGGGAGATAACGTTTTCCTGTCAACCAAATACATATGGTTGAGGCTGCCTAGCAAAAAACCTATGTTTTGGGGGCCATTCCCAATAGTGAAAGTAATTAACCCAGTGACAGTTCAGCTTAGCTTTCCCCACATCTTAGGGAAAATACATCCCATTTTTCATTGCAGCCTGCTAAAACCAGCCCTTGGCTCTAGGTTAAGACCTCAGACCCAGCCACCTCCTCCTCCTATAGCGGTGCAAGGAGAGACCCATTACAAAGTGAAGAAAATTTTAGATTATAGGCTGTATAGGGGCTGTTTGCAATATTTAGTTCGTTAGAAAGGGTAGCCTTTGTCTGAAGCTACCTAGGTTAAGAGTTGGGATGTTAAAGCAGACAGGTTAGTTAAGCAGTTCCATGACAAATTTCCTGACAAGCCAAAGGGTCTCCCTGGGGGGCGGGTTAGTTGGATAATCTTAACCCCCTGCATTACTCTTGTTACAGGATACATTTTTCTGCTGGGGGGGGAGGGCAGCCTGTCAGACCTAGAAGCCATCTTTTATCTTTGGGACTGCCACATTTTCTATTGGGGATTATATAGAGAGTGGGTGATGTATAGCCATAATAACATTCTTTCTCAGAAAGTCAAAATCATCTGTCCCTGCATCTGCGATGAGGTGATTGGGAGGTATCTCCTGTTTTGGATGGTGCCTGATTGGATCATGTGATGGACATGTGGGCAGGAACTTGAACTTTCTTTTGGGTGGGGAAAACCTGGAAATGTTCAGGTTCTGATTTTCCCAGATGTGCCAATATGACATCTCTAATAAAATAGAACTTTGAAGAAACTCAAGCCTAAGAGTCTTCTTTCGTTAGGGGTGTTACTTGGAACCCTGACATAAGAAATGCAACTTAACTATCAGCCATTGCTTCCCTATAACCACCCCTTGCAGACACTTTATGAAATCAATGTATAATGCAGTGATGGCGAACCTTTTCGGCACTGAGTGCCCAAACTGGAATGCACGCCTGAGCATCGGAAACCCAAAGACTAGCTTAGCTGGCCAGCTCACGCATGCCTGTTTTTTTACCATTTTTCAGGCCGTTTTCCAGGCCATTTTTGAGACTCACATAGTCCCTAAGAGTAATGTGCAAAAAGACAGAGCTCATTTAATCACAAAACTGAAAATACACTTTGTTCCTTGTCTATTTTTACCTCTCTAGCATATATGCTGCTTTTTAAAATAAATTTGTAGGGAAGAGCTGACAATACTTAAGTAAGTGCTTCTCAACTTTAGCAAGTTTAAGATGGATAAACTCCCAGAACTCCCCAACTAGCAAGCTCTGGGCACTGTACAAAACGGCTAAGGAATTCCAGGTTATTTTAAAGTTGTTAAGGTTGAAAAGCACTGACTTAGAATAATATAGAAGGCAATCTGCTGAGTATCCTGATCATACATATTTTGAAGTAGCTTTATTCTATTGTAGTAAAAATGAGAAAATGAAACATGTCAGTCACATGCTTCTTCCATTGGTGAAATGTCAAACCAATCTATTTGGATTTCAAACATTTATACGACATTATGTGATAGGAGAAGATTCATTTCTATTGCCAAGAGTGATATTGCACCAAGAGAAAGAATCTTCTGTCCAATATAGTGTTTTATTACATACACTCAAGTTTTGGTACCTTCCTGCATAGGTTGCCAAAGTTTTGCTAATTATATGTAAAATGCATTGTGGTTTTCTGCCATTATCTTCTGTTACGCTTTTTAGGGTGCAGAAGTCCTGTGTGGAGGGAATGCCTTTGTGCCAGATGATCCCAGTCTGAAAAATGGCTTTTATATGTCTCCTTGTGTCTTAGGTATGGATACTATATTATTAATGCCATTGGCACTACTTTTTAACCATAGTCAAAACTTTAATCTTACTAGACTAAACTAAAGGGGTAAAGTGAAAACAAGATAATAACATGGTGCTATAAAGTGATTAAATTAAAATGAGAAAGTGACTAAATTAGTGGATCAGAGAAATGCTGTTGGTATAGTTTACTTGGATTTCAGTAAAGCACCAAATTTCCACAAATGTCTTTAGTCCACAAAGTTAGATATTCAGTTTCATGGATGTTTCTTGTTAATTGTAATCCACCTTGCCTTAAAAATCTTCAAACAGCAGACTAATACTTCTAAGCAGCCAAAACTCCAGTAGATATGAAACCAACATAAAAAGGCCTTCCAGGTGTTTTCCTTTCACTATTGCAAATAGTGTTATTGCAAAGTGCAAATCACCAGGGCCAGATGGTTCTGAAGGAGCTGGCAGACATGATCTTGAAAACACTGAACAAAATTTTTCAAACTCCTAGAACACCAGGAAACTACTGCTGCAATCTTAAAGAGCCGGTGTGGTTCCAATCTTCCAAAAACAAAACGTGTGAGTGGGGGAATGGATCTGGAAGCTACAGACCAATCAGCTTGACGTCAGTACCTGGGAAAATCCTGGAAAGTTAATCGAGCACCTAGGAATGAACACAGCTATTACTAGAAACCAACATGGCTTTGTTAAAAACAGATCATACCAGACAAACCTTATTGCCACCTTTTAAAAAGTGACTAAATTAGAGGATTGTGGAAATGCTGTGGATATAGTTTACTTAGACTTCAGGAAGGCATTTGACAAAGAAGCCACAATTTATATCCACCAGATAGATTCACAACTGGCTGGCCAACCACACTCATTAGACACTTGCTGAAACTACATCTATCTACATGGACACTTGCTGAAACTACATCTACATGGAGTGAAATATGCAGTGGCATACCTCAAGGTTCTGTCTTGGGCCCAGTGCTGTTCAATATCTTCATAAATGACCTAGTTGAAGGGGCACTCATCCAATTTGCAGGCAATAAGCTGGGGGGAATTGCTAACATTTCAGAAGTTACTCATGATTCAGTTGATAGAACTGAACCTAGGGCCTTAGCCAACAGGATGCAGTTCAGTTCCGTATGAGTATGCTGCAACTGCCAAAAAAAAGCCTATGAGGTCCTGGGCTGTATCAACAGAGGGATAACATCAAGATCATGATAAGTGATAGTACTGTTCTGTACTGCATTAGTGAGTCCACACTTGAAATGCTGCATCCAATTCTATTCACCACATTACAAAAAAAGATGCTGAGTCCCTAGAAAGATTTCAGAGAAGAGCAACGAAGATATAAAGGACTCTGGAAGCTAAACTGCATTAGGAATGGTTAAGGTAACTAGGTAGGTCTAGCCCAATGAAGAGAAAGATTAGGAGTGACATGATAATTGTCTTGGTACTTCAGAAGCAGTCACAGGAAGAAGGGGGTCAAATTATTCTCCAAAGCACCTGAGGGCAGGATAAGAAGGAAAGGGTGAAGCTTGTTAAAGAGAGATCCAGTTTTCCAATTGCATTGAGGAGCATACTACCCAATATGTTTTAGACATTAAAAACAGACTTCATGATCAGATGCTTAAAACTGAAACTGAAACTCTAAAGTGGGACTTGGAATTAACTATTTACAGATGTGCTCTGGCCCTTTATTTAATTTAAAAGTTTGTCTCAGATCTTACAAATGGAACTTTAAAAAGTAATCTAAAATTCTACTTAGTTCTTAGTAGCTGAAGTAGTGCTTCTCATTTCATGTAGATTCAGATTGACTGATTTCTTAATATTGTATGATCACACCTGTGTTGCTTTCAGGAAACTGCAAGGACACCATGACATGTGTAAAAGAGGAGATTTTTGGGCCAGTCATGTCTATTCTACCCTTTGACACAGAAGAAGAGGTCTTAGAGAGAGCCAACAATACCCGTTTTGGCCTGGCAGGAGGTGTCTTCACCAGGTACCATCAAGAAAGGGAATATATTTCAGAAGTGGGAGATGGCTATGGCAAGTTGAGCTGCCTATGCATAAGGCAATTATGACAGCTGTGAGGCTGGAAGCAGACAATCAGCTTGGAGCATGGCAAAAAGCTGTTTGCTGCATAGTTCTTCCATTTGATATAAACTGAGTGTTATCCTTACTTTCTGATGCCTCACTAAAATAGCAGACATCCTTAGCCATGTCCCAGAGTTAATAAATGATGGACAAAGTACTAGGGAAATAAGAGTGAATTTAAATTATTCTGCTTTACAGAGATATCCAGCGTGCCCACAGAGTAGCAGCTGGTCTCCAGGCTGGTATGTGCTTCATCAACAACTATAATGTCAGTCCTGTGGAGCTTCCCTTTGGAGGATACAAGATGTCAGGTATTTCACTCAGCAACTTTGCTGTAATATTTTGGCTGTTGACAGCTGCTTATATGATACTTGGCAAAAGTTGAAGAATTACCCTAAATTGGATTGTAAACTAAATTTCACAATTTCATTGTACACAATTAAAGCAGCAGAACTTTATTACCCAGTTTACAGTAGCAGTGATAGCTAGATTTGCCATTGACTTGTTGCTTTCTCATGATAATTTCACCTTCTTTCTGAAAACTTTTTATTTCAAAAAGAAGTTGAATTTACTTAAAACAAGATACAGGACCTACCTACTTATGTAAACCTATTTTAGGAAGAAGGATGCAAATCCATTTAGTAAGGATAACTTCTACATACAGGCTGTAAAGAAAGTTCTCTTAAGTGGAAAAATGTATACATGGCATTTTTAATTAAAACAGATAAGAAAAACTGGTATTAAATTAATGTGTGATTTGTAAACTATAGACTCTTAGCTGCTGAGTGGGTGAGGTAAAACGCTTGATTTATATTTGAAGTATTTGTCATTTATAATTAGGAATCTAATGAATCAGTTTTGCTCACTTCTAGAATGAGACTATTAAGTTTGTTTCAACAGATTCCTCATTCTCTGATGCATTGTTTGCAAATTTTTAGAGCAGATGGTTACAGTTTTATAAATTTATCTGTCTTTTCAGGGTTTGGACGAGAGAATGGCAAAGCAGCAATTGAATACTATTCCCAGCTGAAGACAATCTTTGTGGAAATGGGAAATGTAGAATCAGTGTTCTAATGCCTCTAGTATAGTTGCTTCTGGTTAGCATACTATTGAGATGCTATATACAACAGAAGCTCGAAATGATCTTTGCAGCATCTGATTACATCATTGTTTTCCTACAACTACTTTGAATTCCATTGTTTTTTTTTCCTCTCTTCTCTTGAAAGTACATAATGGAGAAAAAGAACAATCACTGGCTATAAGATTTTTTTGCAACCAGTCCCAAATAATTGCTTGACACCTCTTGCCAAGTTTTCTGACCTAAGCACAGTAGAGCAGAGTCTCAGCATCATATGATATGTGTCCTTATGATAACTTATATTTCCCAATCTATTGATCTCAGTTGTCACTACCCAGAAACAGTAACTAAACATCGCTGCACAAAGGAGGTTGATTGTATTCCTACTGTCTACTCTAGGTAGGCAGTTTTATATAATGCAGTTTGAGCAAATAAAGGTTCCGATACTGAGCACTGAATGCATAAAATTACATGAAATACACAAGTATTCTAGCTGTTCTCAATGTGTGGGATGGGTTATGCCTTAAGGGATAGGAGGATTTGATAGGAAATTAATTAAGCCCCTTTAACACAGAAGCATTTTGTTAAAATAGAATTACAAAGAGGTGATTCTACCTTTCAGAAATGACTGGAAAATCAATCCTTCAAAGCTAGGTTTCTCTTTACTGGGACAAAATCTGTACTGTCTCAATAAAAACAAGATTTCGTGTTATATATTCTTTTCTCACTGGTTATGCAAAAATAGGACTATTGATTCCAGGAGAATGCAAATGACATTTTTCTCCAGATTTATAAAAATAAAAAACGGTTGAAGGAGATGGTCAGAAGTCAGAATTTTTTTGCTAAGTGAGAGACAGTTTCATAATTCCCTTAAAAGGTTTAATATATGGATTGATTTAAGCATTGCCATTAGAAGCAAAACCTGCTAATTTCTGAATAATTAACTACTATTTTGATATTAGTAGAAC